GCAGTTACCTTCATTTGGTTGCTTGGACACTTCCAGCTATTTTGACCATTGCAGTACTCACTACGCATAAGGTTTGTCCTTCACATTTATTGAATTTCCTGAGAAATGATCCTTTTTTTCAATTTCATATCCTCACTATCTTATATGCTTGTTACATCAGAACACTCTACCATCTGTCATGAAGTAGGAATCTAAACGACAACTTTAGTATCATCAAGTTTTGTCAGATATAATTTGGGAACAGTGATGAAAAATTGATGCTGTATAACTCTTTTCAAACAATACATTGGGCCTTTGAATACTATAGATAGTAATTATTGTTGAATCTATTATGAAATCCATTTTGTACTAGTAAGTTATCAAATTTCTACTACACATTCATGCTGTTATGAGTTTTCGTCCTAATCAAATTTTAGGCTCTTTTATCAAATTTCAAATGAACTAAATAAATTTATATAATAGTTTTATTGATCGGATCTGAGGAACGAAGATTAGTTTGGCAGTAAAGTTTAAAATTTTTTTATAGGTGGATGCAAACGAATTAACAGGTTTATGTTCAGTCGGTAATGCTGATCCATGGGCTTTATTTGGCTTCATTATCGTACCAAAATTGATTTTTGTTGTGGTTGGCAGTTGTTTGATTGTGGCTGGTTTCTCAAGTATGTGCCGAGAACGTGATTCTTTTAGGAGACGAGTAGGTTTATGTTTTAAAATTATATTTCTACGTTTTACTTTATCTGTTGAGTTTGTTCTGTCATACTTTTTTTCCAAAACTTTATACAATTAAAAATTAAAAACCTTTCAGAAAATATGAAAACTTTTTTATGTCATTCTGATCGATATCGTTCAAAAAGTGTCTATCCGTACACAAAATATTTCTTATAGTTTAAGGTTTCAGTCCACTGAATCCAGAAAATTTATGCTTACTCTTTGTAATAGCTATTAAATTATGTATTAGAATAAACATTTACCGTCTTTTTTTACATCTAAAATTTATATATATATAAATATATCTAAAATTTCCAATAAATACAATTCAAACAGGGAACAGATACATCAAAACTGGAGAAGCTAATGGTGAAAATGGGTATCTTCAGTGCGCTTTATATAATTCCAGCAATAACAATAATTATTTGCGACAGCTACCATATGTTCATTCTGATGCAGTGGCATCCAGCAACTATTGCTTGCAAAATACATGGCGGAATAGAAAAGGGCCATTGTAAAAGGCCTGCATTACCGCAGGTATGCAAAATTTATTGAGATCATACCATTCCAAGTACTAAGACCTATTCTTCCGAAAATCTATGAAATAGATTGGATATGTATGTCAGTTTTGTTTTGATTTTTTAGTGATGCTTTTGCTTCACTTGTAATCCGAATCACCTTAAAGATAGTCGTTAAAAAAGTTTTTATATATCAAATTTAAGGAATAGTAAACTCTACATAGTTTTTTTTTTCTAAATCTCTGACTGTGGAGCTTCTGTCATATTTTGATTAATACTCTCATTGTTTATCCTAGCCATTTTGTTTGTTGCTCAATTTATGAATTAAAGAAAAACAGATGGGCATTCCTTTGATAAAGAAATGTTTGATTTAAAGAGGCGAGATTTTTTCGTACAAGAAATCGTCTCGGGACGAATTTACTTTCCTGCAGGGACGTGTGTTGTGGAAGAATTATAAAATATTTAGTGTTTTCTTTTAATTACAAAATCAAATATTTGTCGTTAAATCACTTTTTTCAGGTTGAATTGTATTTTTTGAATATATTCATGTCATTGGTAATTGGCATTTCAACAGGAATGTGGACTGTTTCTTCGAAAACATTCCATTCCTGGCAACGAGCTATCTGTTGCGGTCTATGCTCCACAGCGCCTGCGAAATATGGTTCTGGTGGTGGAGTGACCAGTTCGCTAACCAATTCTGCGACACTTGGAGCTGCTAATCGACCGCTTATCCCAACAGCAAATCCACCACCTGTTCCACCACCACATCATCATTACATGCCTATGACCGTATCTTCCTTACCACCAAGCCATATTACTGGGGCGCAAAATGCTATTTCTGCTGCTGCTTGGAAGCAATCGAAAATTATGTAATATTGTGGAAACTTTAATTTCTCAAGATTTCAAAAATTTAAATTAAAAAAATCTGCATATTTGTGCTTGAAAAATTTGCGATTATCTTTCATTTTTAAGGTCATCAATTGATTAAAAGTATTAAGACCAGGACATCTAAATGAATCAGAATGTGATATTCGATATCATTTGGCTCTCTAAGGCATGCAAATTTTGAAAAATTAGTTTAGCTAGAGTTAATCAAACTAAAAATAACTTAAAACTATTCATGAAATTTCCTAGTATATATTAATCAAATTCAAACTTTAATTTTATTTGATTAGTACTATAGTTAGATCTCTGAGATTATTCTGTTGGCTATTTATCGGCTGCAAAAAATGATATCAAATATAAAGAATTTGTGTGTCTTATTCGAAATTCAGGAAAAAATGATGTAATTAAATCATTAAAACAAATCACTATTCTACCTCGATTTGCTTACAAGCACATAATACCTTAATTTTCCTTTTTCTTCTTCATTCTTTCTATCTTGCCGAATTATTATTTTCAAGAATATATGCATATTTATGAGAAATAATCTTTTTTCTTGTTTCTCTCATTCTTTTATTGATTTAAGTGCCATTGCAGTGTGACAGTCCATGACAGTATATTGTTTAATCTTCGTGTGTTTTCTTTTTCATCTTTGTCTTTGTTATTTGTTCTAGCACGGAGCGATATTTTGTTTCATTTTAACTTACTTTAGATGTGTTCATATTAGTCCGCTTGGTCTTTTCTTATTTTACGGTTAGTCAGGAAAAGATATAATATAAGCGAGAGATGATTTCTGGTAATTAATTACAAAGAGATTTATAATTGAATGAAGTGAGTTATTCCCCAATCAAGCTAATGCGAGTTTCAGTTTTTTAACAATTACCTGTCTGCAAATGAAGAAAATTTTCCAGTGCGCTGAATTGTATACTATAATGTATTTAAATATTTGCAAGTTGACATTTAGAACTCTTCAAATTTTATTGGCAGCATATGTGGGAATGATACTGTCGATATGTTTAATTTAGGAAATTGGTGAAGAAGATTAGAAAACATTTAAATTGTGTTGATGCACAGACTATTTAGCTTGAATAAATTGTTTACAGTTTGTCATTCAGTTTTAGAAATGACTAAAATGATTAAATAGGGTTTGAAAAGTTCTAAAAGTCAAAAGAATTAAAAGCAGCTTAATGACGGGTTAATAAGTTTGAATCTGTTTTACACGAATGGTTTTGTAGATGTTAAGACGAACTGTATGCAAAATCGATATACTTCAGCTCCGGAAATGGTAAGAAAGTTCTGAAAAGTTGAAGAATTATCAAATTTGACATCTACAAGCTGTACCTAATTTGGAGTGTATAAATGCAGTACGATGCTTGTTGTATGTTACTCCTTTACTGCCAGCATATTTTTTCTTTATTTTATTTCAATTGTTTTCGTATTTAACGAAATTCATTGCGTTAGCAGTGAAGTACACTATTTTATTCTTACAAATTGTTTTTTTCTATCACCAACTTCCTCAACTTATCACATACCGGCATGCACCTGAGAGCTGAAAATTTTAGGCTAAGATAGAAGCTATTCTAAAATTTTAATTTTAATAGAAAAACTAGATTGCTAAAATTGTTTGAAAAAAAAGTTTAAATTGAATCAAAAAAAATGAAAAATACAAGTTCAGTGAAAAGAGATGGTGAACCATTTCAATCTCGGTTGCCATCATTTGCGTACTGCAAGTTTTTCCATCCTTCTCGTATTTCGGTTTATTTGTTTCCCATTTGCCTGTTTTAAATGTTTTTTCTTTTCACATATTGCTTTAAATCAACATATTTCATTTGAAATTATACTTTTTTCTGCAAAACAGAATATATTAAACGTGACAAATAAAAATTTTTATTGTACCTAATATGTATACAGTATTAAAAATTTTAGCCTTTTTATAGATGAACTTTTACATTCATTCATCCTTACATACATAAGACATCAAAGGAACCGATCACTAGTTTTGCAAGTGGAAATCAAGACTTCGATATGTAAATTGTGGATTGTGCACAGTACAGTAATATGAATCATCGAAAAGAAGGGGAAGAAGCGTTGTGGGAAATTCCTGGAACGAACGATGATAAGTTATATTCCTTTGAAAGCTTTAAGCAGCAAAATTGCAGAATATTCGTGCAACTAATTATAGTAGATTGAAGGAAGCGATCTGTTACCTTTAGCAAAGAGGTTCTGCATCTGACCAATATCGTCAGTGAGTTGACCAAGAGCTGATAGTAATCTCATCACGAAAGACGATGTTCGGATCAATGAATTTATTAGTAAAGATGTTCTTGTTTAATAAAGAAAGAGAATTTTTCCTTTCTGCTCAAAAAATAGAATTAAGTTTGGTAAAATTCTTTTTCAGATTAAAATTGATTAAGTATTTGAGCTCAGATCACATGAAAGTTCCGAACTGAGCAAACAAAGAACTTTCATTTTATAATAAATACAAATTCACAACGACCAGTATCATAAAGATATTTCTCTTCACGGGCAAGTGCGCATCATTACTTTCGAAGCATTTCTGCTCGATTTGGAATGGAATACAGTTCTCAAAATGATGCCCATACGATTCCCAGCTCATCTGAAAAAGCAACAACGTACGCAATCTTTTAGTTCACCGAAAAACAATTTGAATAGCACAAGTTGATATTTTTTTAATTCGGAATTCAAAAGATTTTAAAATTTGAGCTTCATTCACTCGAATTATCGCGATCATCTTTTGTTGATACTATCATGAATGAGTATGGGAAAAAGTTAATTTAAACCTCTACAGTAAGCGTTTCTCTGATTTCCAATGGTCATGTTGAAGTTGTCAAATGTTGAAATTTTATCAAAAATCGAAAATTTTCAAAAGTCGAAATTTTAAAAAGCAAAAATCTTATGCTGTAAGAAATAGATAATAGAAATCATAGCTATGGCAAGAGAAAAATATAAATAACTTGGGCACATCATATATACATACAAATTTTTAATTACTTAATGATTTAATTGAAACCTGGTAGCAAACTTCATGAATTGCATTTGATGGAATCAAAACAAATGTATCGGTCATCCAGTCGTCCACTGTACGATTTGCTATCAAACTCATATAATGTATATGATTATCGAGACGGATGCGATAATGAATGATGAATGAAATTGGTTGCGACCAGTTTGCATTTATATTTAATGAAAATTCCGCATCGTCGCAACTTACTGACCTAAATGAAGTGTAAAATAAAGTTACCGAGATGAATTAAATGAAAATTTTTCCTTCCTAGCTATACTTTTATCTCTTAATTTGCTCAGTATTGTCCAAATCCGATAATTATTTCATTTTTTTCACTCTCAGTTCAAGCTCATTTATTTAAGATATACTTTAATTTCTAAAAGTAAATTATATTTGGAAGAATAACTTAGAATATCATCTTATCAAGATTATCATGGACAACAAACTGTGTCGTCACTACGATACTCTCTCCTCTTTCGTTTTTTCTCTTTTTAATTTATTAATTAACAGTGATTTTTAAAAGTATACGCTTGCCTGACTTTTAATGAAATAAGTTTTGAAAGCCAATCTATTTCTGTGTATTTGGTTTTGGTCAAAAAACTGGGCCGAATCAAAAAAATGCTGGAATAATTGGACCAGAAAGTTTTGTAAACTTTTTTGTGATAAACTTCGTAACGTATAGTACTCTTGAAAATTATTTCATACCATTTGCCGTGTGTGAAATCACATGCTAGATAATCCTGAAAATACAATCGACACCACGTACTTCATGATCTGGAGTTCAAATTCAAATTGTGGTAAATAAATTGAGAAACTTTTCAAATAGAGTATTTAATTTTTTCTTGTAATTTTTTGGTGTAAGACAAGAAAATATTTAAAGTGATCACATAATTTCAATATTACAAATCAACCTCATAATTTTTCGGTAAGCTTTTCAGTGGGCAGTTTGCATTACTGGTATTCCAAATCGGTGTCTTTCGGATAGCTAACTGTGATATGTATTGTGAAAGAGCTTTTTGGCATCCAATATAATATCCCAGATCGGGTGATATTCGATAATTTTTCTGATAACCCTTTTAAAAAATTATTATCATTTTGGTATACAATATTTATGCTAATATTCAAAGAATTGCAAATTTTCAAAGTTAATAAAAACAGATTTTATTCTCTATGAATTAATTTATACTAAAATGGAATTTATAGCATTGAAAGTGAACCTTGTATCCCAATTCGCAAGTATTTGGATTGCCTATTTCATGCCAAATAATTCGTACAGTAGGCTCCAGGCTGGTAACATGCTTCAAATCATTGTCGTAATCATCCTGTCTTTTACTGGTTTGAAATGATCCGCAAGATTGTACTATTTCGGGAAATAACTGAAAAAAAAGATGATAAAAGCGCACATTTCCTCGATTCTCTATAATAAACTAGAATAAAGAGATTTCCGGTTTACTATGATACCTTTGATTGATTTCTACTTCCAATTTGGTGTAATATTCTATACCAAATTATTTAAGTTTATCTATTCCGAATATCTTGCATAGATTCATTGCACGAAATCAAATTCATACAACTATTCAAATGTGAAAAAGAGATGCGACAAAAGCGCCGCAACCTTGTGTATTTGATAAATAAAATCGGAAGATGTAAAAAAAGCGAACATACAACCATAAAATTATTGTTAAGTGATTGTTTTTCATATGAGCATGCTTCCATTGATAAGCTGACAAGCTTCTCCGGAGATATATGATAAAATGCTATAACATATTGCACTAGTAAGTACCACCAAAATGTTGACGATATCATATGGTTCTTGACCATCGCCACCGAGAAGATGGCACCATTCAGTCAGGAAATTCCATAATTCGACATAACATATCATTATATAACATAATCTCGTCAATTCTTCTGAACTTTCATCAAATTATATGCAAAATATTGCACCTTAAGAACCTTTCAATAACATTAAACAATTTGATAATTCTTAACTGATCCAATACCGTTTCCAATTGGAAAGAGTGATTGGAAATCATTTTTCCGATTTATCTTATAGAGAGATGATAACAATTTATCAGCATGATAATATCTGACGGTCATTTTTATGAAAATTATATATAATTTAATCAAAAAATCTGATTTATCACTTATGATTGACTTATTTACATCGGCAATATAACTATCAAAAAATTAGATGTAATTTCCGAAAAAAAGAGTAAACAAAAAAATGATGAAAGCATAAAATGGATCCAGCAATTTGCTTCTTCCCATGAGCCCTCCTGCTAAACCTTCCTGCTTGGAACAATTCTCAAGTATATAGCTGGAAGTAGCTCACTCTCTTTCCAACCCAATACTCTCTCCCTCTCTCTCTCTCTCTTATTTCCTTTTTTTTTTCTTTATACTATCCAATATGCCCGCTTTCCCGAAAAAGCATTGTTATCAGAATAAAAAGCACAACCAAAATTTTCACTTTATTTTATTCCTTCTCTTTTAGACAAACATTTTCTTCCTCCATCTATGCATTAATTTATCATGCAAAATTTAATAGAATAGAAACAGAAAGAAAGAGAGAGAGAGAAAGGGAGAGAGGAAGAGAGAGGGAAGGAGTATCGCTGAAATATTTATTCCACCCAATTAATTCATCGGTCATATCACAATGATAGTAAACCACAAACCTGTCGCCTAATTGTGTTATGCAATCAATCAGTAAATGCTCAGAAAGTGATTGATAACAATTTCAACATAACCAAAAAACGAACTGTTACAATTGCCCATTAAAAAATGGCATTTTTTTGTTTTTCTTTAAAGTAAATGATAAAGTAAATGAATGAGTATGGCTTCCATACCGTAAATCTAAGAAAAACTGATTTAAACTATTGAAACGGATACACTTTACTTATTGCTTTCTTTGTAAATTTATAACTTTTATTTGATTCACTGAAAACAATTGAAAACCGTAAAAATCGAAAATTAATTTTGTTTGAGAAAAAAATACTAAATGCTATAAGCTTAGCTCTAAAATAAGACAAATGATGTGTTGCACAGATCCCATTTTGTTGTGAATTAATGTAATTTAGACTAAAGCTGCCCAGGAAAGCAAAACAATCCTCTAAACAGAACTCTTCAAATCGTCCGCTATTCGGCATATTTTGAAATTTGAAATTTCCATGAAAGATGAAATGAAGAAGCGCAATAATCTCGAAGTTTTTATCTGCAGAAATGGTAAAAAAGTTTTGGAAAATTGAATAAAAGCAAACAAAAGAGCAATTAAAAAAGATAAACATTGTTTACTTCCTCCATATATTCAAATGTCTAATTCATAAAATGATGAAAATTTATGAAAGTTTTTAGCTGATGATAATAGTATAGGTGATAAAAACAAAAGTAAATTTGTTTATCATTAGGGCTAACGATTCAATAGTCTTGTCGATTTTGTTATTGTTAAATGTCCTTGTGAACTATCGATTTTTCTCGAGAGCTATTTAACTGTCATTGAGAATAAGCATTTAGAATATGATAAAATCTGTTTTGATTAACAAAGAATTTTTGAATGTATTCTCTTTCTCTCTCTTTTGTCGACTTAAATATCTACCCATCCCATTTCAAGCTTCAATTAAAGATTAGCCTTTATCAGCACACTTCCGATAAAGGAATAGTTAATTTGATAATGTACTTTTACTTCGTTGTGAGAATTTGCAAAAGTAATCTATGCACTGTCTGTTTATCATTGAAGATAGCAATGCTATTTTTTGCTAATGACAACAACTTTCACTGATCTCATTTGACTAGTTCTTAATCATTTCTCGAAAATCAAATCATTGGTCAAGTGAAATCTGTTCACACTGATCATATAGCTCACTTTCCCGCATAATTCACGCAGTTCATCTGAATAATATCACGTGAAGTTGCGATCTTCTTCATGAACCTCTGTTAGCAGGCGTCAGTCACGAAGCAGTGATTGCCATTCATATGTCCACGTGAGACTTTGGTTTTCATACTGACCACGCCAGAGTAGTTCACGAAAGTTGGTCGACGATCATTTCTCGAGGGCATCAGTGATCGAGTTATGTTGGAGTGCGGGGTAGTTTCATGCGTTATAACAAAGATTTTACAGACGTTGCAAAGTTTATCGAAATGTTATATAATAGAAATTGAGAAAAGATTTGTAAAAACTTTCTAAAAATTTTTTAACTACAAAAAAGTCGTTGAATGTAATGAAAATATGTAGAACAATTTATAAGTAGAGTTGTATTGAGCGGAAATCATATCTTTTTCTTTCCCAAATGATGTAATGTTGAAATTGTTCTTCGTTATAAAACTTGCTGCAATGATACAGAGGCAGGCAAATGAAACAAATAATCAAGTGATAGATTGTAATTTTCAGTATTTCAGGTTTTAATTATGGAAATTAAATCAGCAGATAGTAAGCCTCATTATCAAATTTCATTTTACTCTAATAATGAGAAGTAAGTTGTCATATTTATGTGATATTTTGTCATCGTACCCGAAATAGTAATTTATGTTTTTTCTAGTACCTTTATTAATTACTTGCATATATATCACTTGTGGTTCTCCAGGAAGTGAAAAATGGTTTTTACTTTGTTAGCTTTTCAGTTTTCTTTTTTTTTTAATAGAAGCACTTTTTGCAGTTATCGCCACATTCCGAGCGATGTTTTATCCGTACCGACTGATATTACAGTAGATAAATTAAATGTACTTGCGAATATGACTTTGAACAGTGTATTCGGTTAGTCTGATTACGTTTGTCTACATTAGATTCTGATTAATAGCTTCTTCTTTTTCTTCCGTTGCATTTTAAATCTGAAAATTAAATTGAATTGTCTTAGAATTTATCTCATCAAAATTCATCGAAATCTGATCACTGGAATGTATCTTTATATGTGCAATACAGACGCTTAGCTAGTATATGAGCTTCAAGATGAAAAACAAGGATTTTCTATTAAATCAGGAATTGAGAGGATTTGCCGCATTTTCTTGCATTTTTTCTATTACGTTGTACTGTTCATTAATTTGCAAATTTTTTGAAGATAAGGAGCTCGAATCAGTTGTTTTCGATTTTCTTATATCATCTACCATTTTGCGGACTACATTAGAAGAATTTGTCCAGGAAAATCATGTCCCAATCGTAAGTTTCCCTCCAATCTATAACTAAAGAAATTTGTATTTCATTCATTTCAACCATTGAACAGCTGACAGTAAATTATGACACTATCCCAGTTGATTAATTTCGGTTGGTCTATTTTCGGGAATGGTATGAATTACTGTAAATTACTTTTCAGGAATCAGTTATCAATATAGAATGTATTATTCAGGAGCCAGCACCAGAACCAGATTCGGATATTACCTTGCCTGACTGGATTGGTGCGATTAGGTGCAACGATAAGTTGTAGGCTTTTCATGTTACTATATTAGTTAATACAATAGTTTTTAGTTATGAAGATTCATTCATTAAATAGTCCCATATTAGTTAGTTGGATGAAAGGCTGCATCCGCTAATCCCTTCGACTGTTTCAGCATTGCATCTGCTACATATGGTGGTGAACTTGTGTTGTGGAATCACTGTGGAAAAGAATTAACATCATCAATTTTACATGAAGAAGCTATAAAGTGTCTCGCATTTTTGCCCGATCAAAAAGGTTACTGAATTTAGGATTTTCAGTTTTGAACTAACAGTTCATTTAATACAGCAAAATTTAGTAGCCTATGCAAGGGATATTCCTATCTTATGGCAGAAATATATGACGTTGTTCTTTAAGGTCTTTTTTACCTAATGTTAATTTGGTTATAGTTTCTTAGCAAATGCAGTTATGAAATAATGCTGTCATTTAGTCACTTATTTAATTTCTCTGATAAGTTTTGCAAATTTAGTTTTTAAAAGTATGAATGGTTTTTAGGAAATCGAATTGTCACTGGTGGCCATGATCAGGTTCTGATGATAAGTGATATAGAAATAGATGGATCATCCACTTTCATAAAACCGACATGCATACTCCGCGGTCACGAAAGGAGCATAGAATCCGTAGCCGTAAATGCTGATGGTACTCGGACGGTTTCAGGCGGCTTTGACAAAATGTTGAAAGTATGGAATACCGATAAAGGTTAACAATTCTATTACTTGATACAACAATTGTGTTGAATTTGTCAAAGTGCTGGAGCTTTAAAAAAATTGTTTCATGCAGATGATACGTCCACTGTTTTCGAAAAAACAAGCAATGGGAAAACGAGCAAGAAGAAGAGGACTGATGTTATTACTAAGGTATACATCACCATTTCCCGGGGAATTATAATAGTTTATTTGCGTGTGATGTCAAGACTTAGTATCGGAAGAAAAAGGACTCTTTTTATTTTTCTATCCTAATTTATTAGAGCTACTAGTATTCTAGACTCCCATGGTTACTTTATCTGCTCACAAAGACTCTATTGTCGGTATAACCTGGTCATCTAATTCTGCAAAGGAAGTGTTAACAGCTTCATGGGATCACACGATATCTATCTGGGATTTGGAGTTAGCAGGTTTGTTGCAATACAGTACTTAAAAAACATCAAATAAGATTAATAACGAATTCTATGATACTTAAATAAAGTTCCCATCCTATCAGTTTCTGCTGTTAAATCAGTTTTCTGTTACATATCCCGATAATTGATAATTTGTAAACTCGTCACTTAATATCTTCTTGTATTTTAACACTAAAATGGAACTTTTATAAATACAGAAATAATTGGACATATTGTTGAAAATGTAATTACTACAGCTTTTAATCAGTTATTTTATAAGCTGATTTATTATAAGTTATGTAATGTCAGTTTACATTTTCAGGTCAGACAAGTACTTTAACTGCAAAGAAGGCATTCACAAGCATTTCATTGTGCCCTTCAAATAGCATGCTTATAACCGGTTCAGTAGATCCGATTGTGAGGTTATGGGATCCACGAAGTCATGGTAATTTTAACAATAATTGATTTCTAGCTTAAACTAATCAAGGTACGAGGTGTCGATTCTAATATTTAATTTTGAAGCTGTCGATTTATTTAACAATTTGTGTTTTAAGTTTTAATAAATTTAGAAGGAGCATTAGTGAAACAGTCGTTTATTGGTCATTGCGGTTGGGTTTCATCAGTTTTTTGGAACAAAATGAGAGAAAATCTCTTCATTTCCGCAAGTTTTGATAAGACAGTAAAAATGTGGGATGTGAGGTAATTTTTTTTTTGTTTCTTAAGAAAAAGTAAGAATATATATAGTTTTTCATTGTATACCAGTGACAGCAATTATTTCGTAGTATAAATAATGCAATGTTGGATACAAATCTCATTCTATTTACTTTTCTCCATGAAATAAACAATCCATTATTAAATGAATTCTAGACAGTAAATTATTTATCTTTGTTGTTTGTCTCAAATAAAAGTACCATAAATTTACAGAAGTAACAAAACTCCTTTATACGATCTTGTTGGCCACACTGATCGTATATTATGTTGTGATTGGTCGGTGAATGAATTAATTGTAAGTGGGGGCGTAGACTGTACAATGAAAACATATCGAAGGAAGATGTGAAAGTTGATAAGCTCATGATATTTTCCAAATACAACGTTTTTATAATCTTGAATTGTGAGCAGTGATGTCTAAAATAAATTGAAGTCACAATTGTAGAAATCTGCTTTTCCGAATAAAAGTTTAATGAATTAAAGTAAGAGAATAACTTATCGTTTTCCTATTAATTCTGAACCCTCTCTATCATAGGCACTATATCGAGGATAGTGTAACAAAAATTGTCTCATAGTTTCTCATATTTTGTATGGCATTGTTGTTATGTGTTTGAATTTAGACTTTCGTGGTGCTTATGTGTATTTTGTTAAGTTTGTGAAAAGTAAAATATTTCGAGCAATTACTTTCTTAACATTTTAAAGGCTTCGTTTCCAAAGCATATTTCCTGCTCATTTTTACTACTTTATATTCTCGAATAATCGGCTGTCGTATATTTCGATCTTGACATCATATTGAAATGTTAAAACAGTTGGTTATAGTGGAACACTGTAATTCTTAGCGGTATTTTACTGAGGAAGTTCAGAATGGATGAAGAACGTTAGATAAGCTTAGAATTTCTTTAGTTCGTTTGATTGACAAATTCAGGATGAGATGAATTATCATTCATAACGACAAATTCTACCCAGTTAGGTGTTCTACACTTTTAAGTATAGGTAAAATAATATATTTGAGATTATTAAAAATATGTATTATAACAAAATGAGATTCTGACAGTCATCTCTCTAGTCCTGTTGACAAAAGGTTCGGTCGGATTTTTATACGAATTAATTTTCAAGTTAAGTGATGTTTGAAATTCGAGTTTTTAAAATTTCAAGAGTGGTTATTTCAGATTTTTGCTGGTGACATATTATACAATCAAGAGTAGCCATGGGTAAAGGATTTCAGAATTTTATGAGCAAAAAGGATTTTCATCCAAGTGCTTGGTGGAATATCAAGAAGGTATATATTTATTGATAATTTTGTTTTTTAAGAGTGGGTTTTTTCATCCCACACGTTCTTTGAGAGATTTTCTGAATTTCATTGTTTTTAGGTGTGGGAAGCACGTCAGAAAGATGAAATGGAGAAGAAACGTCAGGAGGACTTGCGTATTGCATACGAACGAGAGCAAGATATACTCAACAATAAGTATGGTTTTTTTCTTCATAATCGAAATTTGAAAATGATAATCACTGAAAAGTTAAATATAGTATTTTTGATGACGATATTGGATTTCAGGGCTCTTTTGGGAGACGAAAAGGCACGTATGGGTCTTTCGTTTATGTATGATGCACCTCCTGGAATTAATAAGAAAGAAGAGGACAAACCCGAACCAAAATTCGAATGGCAAAGAAAATATAACGCACCAAGAGAAGAGTAAGTTTCTCAGGTTTTTTGAAATTCATCTTTTTTTAATTTTTTCTACTTATATTTAACAAATCAGCAGAAGAGAATGCATTATCAGGGTATACAAATCTTACTAAGAGGATTAAGGTTCACGTCATTCTTCTCTAGTTTAACATACATTAATTTCTACAAAAAATTTTTTACTTACATCTCACCATATCCAAAGACTTTTCACATTACTATGAAGCATAAGGTTCTTTGTTCCCCACTGCATATCTTTCCATTTCTATATGTATCTCAACTCAATGTAATGAGTCCTTTTCTATTAATGAAACAAGAGTTACGACATCTCTTATTTTCTATTAAAACATTTTTCCTTAGCATTTATGGTGTTTATTCATTGATGGACAAATATAGATATTAACAACATTTAACTGTGTTAATCTTGCAAATGGCACCTTTCCCTTATTGTCATTTAATTTAGTTGGGCCAAGAATAATGATGCCATAACCGATCAACCTTTCGGTATACAAGTGCGTAATGTTCGCTGCGTGAAATGTCACACATGGGGACATTTGAACACAGATCGTGAATGCCCACTATACAACATGAGTGGGAACTTCGAAGATCCTGGATGTAAGTTTCTTTCCTTTTTTATGATTCATTTTTAGAACTTTCACGGAGAGAAAAAAGATCTTTGTTTCTCTTTCTCCATCTGCAGCTGGAATAAAGGATTTTGTCTTATTTTTTAATAATCTGGAGTGTCCTATGTCACATTTTCTCTTATTTTCATTTATTGTTTTGAAGTTTTTTATGCGAGAAATTTTATAGAATGCAACAAAATTCATTCAATATAGACATATACTACTTCATATTGATCTCATGTTCCAATAATTTTCATATAGTTTGACTTTCTAGATGCAAACAATCCATCCGATTTATTCAAACAACTACAAAAAGACCGTATAGAGAGAAAAGTGTCCGAAAAAACGAGACCGAAAGAACCATTTAAAAATCGATCATCAAGGCATGCTATTACTGCTATAGATGATGACGAGAATGAGGAACAGTGGGAAGAGTTGACTTACGATCAACTAGCAGAGAATATGAAAGAAGAGCATGGGTTGACCTTAAAAAACAATATATTCCAAAATATGCGCGCAGAGGAAAGCATTATGGTATGTTACATTAAATAATAACCATCAACATTCCAATAGAAGAATAGATTAAATGTAAGTTTGATGATTATCATCTTTATCTGCTTTCGAGGAGCTCTTACATAATATCGATTTAATTCATTTCCTGCACTGAAGATATTAATGATTAAGAAGTTCTGAGCAATCTACGTGAAATATGATTATGTGAATCATTCACACAGTGAATTATGTAGTAAGCTTTATTGTTTAATGTTCTCTAGGTGCATCTGTGTTATTTATAGTAAATGTTGTAGAATATGGGTTCAAGTTCAGAGCAGGAAAAAATGGCAGCATTTTTCAATACTCTCAGTGAAAAAGAAAAGCGTAAAATAGCAAAGTAAGTTTTTTTATTTCTTACTTCAATAAAAAAAGATATAGTTTTGATAGTTTAAGTTGCTGAACTTCAGCTTATATTTTGAATGATGGAGTATACTTTGAAAATTCATCTGTTAAAAATAAAATTCATAAAATTACTTTACTATACGGAATGATTTTACAGACAACTACTGTCAGGAACAAGTGACAAGCATAAAAAAAAGAAAGAAAGGAAACGGATGAAGTTAAAATCTGAGAAAAATGGGAAAAAGAAACATCAAAAGCAAAAAATAGGTTAGTGTTTGCATTGTTAAGAATCTTTGTGTGATTTATGTTATCTTTTTATGTTTATGCTTGGAAATATTAAGAAATTCTAAGAAACTGTTTTTTTTTTATCTGATAGTTTTAATTTTCAAACGACCATGCTCCGAAAAATAGAAATGTGCTCTTGTTTCAATGATTTTAATTTATCTGTAAAGAAACGGATTTTTTATGATACTTTTATTATGCGCATTAAAAAATTTTTGAAAATTGGAGACTTTTTTGAATTCAAGTTTTGTATCCATAAAAAGTTTGAAATCGTGCATGTACTCCAAGTGTTGTGGAAATGTGGTAGATTGATTATTGTTGATTCGCAGACATATTATTGTTGTGATTTGTTTTACTTTTGAGAATTGTATTAGAACAATTCTAGTATCAAAGATGAAAAAATCAGTAGTTGATCTGATGATAGTTGTAGAGAGGAAGCGTACAGATGCTGGAGTGGATGAATGGGAAGAATGCCCCTGATGGTATATTTGACAGTTTATATATACACTATACGGGGCGGTACCAGAATAGTAGATAATGGGTTTAATAGATAACCCCGGGGTCAAACAATGTCATGTTGGGGAAGGAAGAAGCGGTGAGAACAAAGGGTAGCTGTATTTGCTACTATGAAAGACAAAAAATAATCAAAGGACAAAGACGTTATAAGGAATCTCTTAATGATTTATAGCAACACAAAGAAATTAAATTTAACAAAGACAAATTGCGAAATGCAGCTTCCTCAGCTTAACTATCAGTGATACAAATCTCAATTGATGTGAATAATTTAATATCACA